GCTTTGTCATGTATTACAATCTGTGATAAAAGTGTTGCTCCATCAAAAAGAAAACATTGGGCTTATGCACTGCTGATATGATGTAATTTCATATGTGTCTGTTTGTCAATAGCAAGCAAAAAGAGCGAGCAGCTCTCCACAGTGTGTACGCAGATAGCAGTATACACACTTACACACACACACACACACACACTCATGCACCATTACCCTCACCGTCAACCCCTCGCTCGCAGGCGCAGCTCGGCCAATTACCCGCGAGGTCAAATGTAAAAATATGCGGTCATACTCAGGGTCACACACACACACAGGGTGAGGAGCATGGCGTGACTCAGGTCTTCATCTTCATCTTCATCTTCTCACCTCAGAGCATCAGAGAGAAGTGCAGTGCTGGACAGAGTCTGCTGAATAATGCATGCACATAACCACCAAACCTGCAAAAGCATGACACGCACGCTCATGGGATTAGGACTGGCTTAAAAATATATATATTTGGTAACATAATGCATCATAAATGTACTCATAATGAATGCTGCAATGCTAGATAAAATGCATCAGGCTTTAATATTTGCATATTACTTGCTACACACAAAATCAGATGTCCATCATGTGTTTTAAAAAAGTATACTTTCTAAAGGTGTTAAAAAAGCATTATAATGTATTATAACTGTGGTTACAGTTTCTCATTAATAGTCACTGTTTGGGGTCATTATGACCCCACTGGACTTTTCCTTGATTTTTTAAAAATGTTCCCTTCATCTCAGGGCCATAAAACTCTGTGACTTTTCCTACATAATCTATCTAAATATGCACAAAAAAACTGGGTTCGATTCGGTTGTTCTAAAGGTGTGTAAAATTTTTTTTTACCATTTAAGGGGTTTGGGGTCAAAATGACCCCAATTGAAAATGAATGGGAAAATGAAAAAAATGACTTTTTTTATTTTGTTTGTCAAAAAAATAAAAGTAAATCCATTATAAATCTGAAATGTTCTACATATAAACCAAGGTCTGGTCCTAGAGCATAAATAGAAAGTAGAACAAACTTTTTATCTCATACACACACACAGACACACACACACATGTCCTGACTGCAACAGAGAGCATTTTTACAGAAATTGGCAAATAAAATAAACAAAACTGGCATAAATTAAAAAAAAAAAGACATCTAAATCAAGGTCTGGTCCTAGAGCATAAACACAAAGTGGAACGAACTTTCTATCTCATACACACGCACACACACACACACATACACACACAGACACAAATCTATGTGACTGCAACAGAGAGCATTTTTTTTACAGAAATTGGCAAATAAAATAATCAAAACTGGCATAAATAAATAAAAAAATCACATATAAATCAAGGACTGGTCCTAGAGCATAAACACAAAGTGGAAAGAACTTTCTATCTCACACACACAAACACACACAAACACACACATGTATGTGACTGCAACCGAGAGCATTGTTACAGATATTGGCAAATAAAATAAACAAAACTGGCATAAATCTAAAAATATATATATTTAAATCAAGGTCTGGTCCTAGAGCATAAACACAAAGTGGAACGAGCTTTCTATCTCACACACACACACACACAAACACACACATGTATGCAAATGTATGCATCCTGTTCATTACAGTTTATTGGTGCTGTTGTTTTGTATTATATTGGTTTATTTACTTGGTTTATTTAATTTATTTTGTTCTAAAATCTCTTGTTCAAAAAAAATAAATAATTCTTGATAAATAATTTTCTGAAATAAATAGTGTGTGATTACAATCATGTCATAGTGCTGACTTGTAATGTTTATGCAAATGTATGTATAATAATTTGCAAAAACAATAATTCAAAATATATCAGACAACAACAACAAACTCTAAATTTGACATATATATTTTGTGAATTGCATAAAATATTTTTATCATATATATCAAGTTGTTAGGAGAATTTGAAGCATCAAGACAAATGAAGGGAAAATGAATGAGTCTCTATGGACCTCTATTGGACAGATGTGGTCATTGCACAATAATTCCTTAACTGTAAGAAAAACAGTTTTTCGACTAACCACCAGATGGTAGTATTTTATCCCTAACACATAGAGCAATGTCCAAAAACTATTTAGATTTAATTATCATCATCATTTAAGTGATTTTTTCTTTAAAAAATCATTTTTCATGTGCCAATTTATGGCCTAGTTATGTAATTGTGCAGTAAATATGTAGAAAACCTAAAAATTTCCCAAAAAACACAGCATTATTGTATAGTTGAGAAGTGAATTAAAAAAATTATATATAGTTTTCCATATAAAAAATTTATATTTCCTTATGCAATCACTCTTTAAAAGTTTGGGGTCAATACGACCCCAAACCACTTAAGCGTCGTCCTTTTTAAACAGTGACTAAGGGTTAAATCATGTGCAAGAGATAATTAATGCATTAAAATACTTTTATGATGCATTATATATACAGGCCTCAAGTTGAGTTTTACCAACTATGTTAATCTTTGAATTAGTTATGCCGTTTCTTCTGCATAGTTAGGGGAAATTATAGTGCATGTTTAATCAGTCAATTTAATACAGTGAATTTTTCCTTTGGAAAATGTATAACACCTGCATTATATAAAATAAAAATAAAAATCTACCTTTTGTCTGGTCACTTTGGGTTGTGATGTGATGTTACAGTCAGATTATATTTCATAGAGTTCAACGTGTTTTATTTACTCACCAAAGCTGCATTTGCTGTTAATTGTGGACGCTGATAGCTAAAATAAAATTACAATCATATACAAAACCTCCTCTCGTTTTTTGTTTTTGCTAATGAAAAGGCGCGCAGACACAGTCTCTCCGCTGCAGATGGCTCTCGGCACACACACACATGTTATGCCTAAATCTAGTTTGACACGTGTCTCCCTTTGGACAGCATGGCAATATTGTAAACACTGTGTGTTCATGACAGCCATCTGCCCTCGGCTGAGTTCGGTGGAGTTTAAACTAAAACGCTCAGAACATTTGGTCACTTCACTCTCACCGAAAGTTTGGAATGAAAATGATTTTTTTTTTTTTTTTTTTTTTTTTTTAGAAGTCTCTTCCGCTCACCCAGAATGCATTTATTTGATTAACAAATACAGTAAAAACTGATATATTATTCCAATGTACAGCTGTTCTCTTTGTGAATATGTAGTTTCCTGTGATCAATTACTCCAGTCTTCAGTGTCACATGATCCTTCAGAATGATGATTTGATGATCAATCATTATCAGTTATTATTGGTGCTCAATTATCAATAATTGTTCTTACTATTATCAATGTTTTAAAAAATTGTTTTGTAAAAACCATGAACAGAAAGTTAAAAAGAAAAGCATTTATAGTAACGTTTTAAATATGTATAATGTATTTACTGTCACTTTTAATAATTTTTTTATTTTATTTTATTCAAAATTGGTAAAGACAAGTATTAGGCTAATTTATCTCGTTCTTTTTATATCATACCCAAGACTTTTGAATGTTAGTTAATCATGGTTTCCACAAAAATGTCTAGAAGCACAACTATTTTCAACATGGATAATAATCATAAATGTCTGCATCAAATCATCATATTAGAGTGATTTCTGAAGGATCATGTGACACTGAAGACTGGAGTAATGATGCTGAAAATTCACAGGAATAAATTACATCTTACAATATATGCACATAGCAAACAGCTATTTTAAATTGTAATAATATTTCACAACTTTTGCTGTATTTTAAATAAAATTAAAGCTGCGAGCAGCATTTAGCGGGGTTCTAGCATTTAAGGCCTTTAAGCACATAAGCATTAAAGACATTAAGTTTTATTTAGCATGTATTTAACCACTGACATCATAGATGGAAAAGACCATTTACAGCCAATACAGGCAATTTACCATAGGACAAATATGGTTTTCAAAGCTTTTTGACAGTTATAGCGCCACCTATGGTCCGATCTCCATGAAACTTTGCATGCTTCTTCACCATGTTTTCCTTTAGGATTTATAGGCTTTTCTAAATGACCCTGTTACAGCCACGCAAATGCAAAATTTCAACTTTTTTTCCGATAATTATTGATCTAGAGTCCAGAGAATTGCCCTAGACTGGTCTGGTTCCGATCAGGCGAAAAAACAGGGACAAAATTCGACATAGCAGAATATTTTCTGCCTAAATCGAAATTGGAGATATACATTTTGTCCGTCTTGTGCCAAGGATCACAGTGGTGTAAACACCTTGAGTCTACCTATGGGCCAATCGGGGTCATACTCTGATAGGTTCTCCCCAAATTAAGGCCTACCATCTGGCCAGGTTTCAAGTCTCTAGCACTTACGGTTTGGTCTGCACGATCAGTTTTACAAATCCTTACAATTACAATAGGGATTCAGCACTTTGTTAGCCTGGTTAAAACCAGAGCATTCTCAGTTGTAACTGAGTTATGGTCTGGTAAAGCGTCATAGACAAATCATTTCCAGAGGAGCGTCACCAACGGACGTCGCGGATAGACCTAAACCCAATCAGAGCGATGAAGGAGATGACGTATGCAGAGCGGCGGAGACACATCTCCGAGTGTTGTTCTTTGCTCGGTTTTTAACAAAAAGGAAACATTCAAATCGCTTAAAACAGACGCGATAGCTGATTGGAACGAGTGATGTTCGACGGCGGCATCCATCTTTGTAATGTAGGCTACAAAATCTGTTTCAAAATCCCAGCGCTGTCGTCATCGTGTAAAGCCCGCCCCAACGTTTCTGATTGGTGCCTCGATTTCGGCGGATTGGAAATGGGCTTGAATGAGCTCTTTGCCAGACTAACTTTCAGAGCAAATCTAAATTTGCCGGAAGTTGTCTGGGTTTTCCCAGGCTAGCCTTGGTGAGCAGAAGATGCAACTTAGAAGTGCATTTATTTAACCTTTTAATGCTCAAGACGTCATCTTTTCTCTCTCTCTCTCTCTCTCTCTCTCTCTCTCTCTCTCTCTCTCTCTCTCTCTCTCTCTCTCTCAGGATGATCCCCGCCTCTCATAAGTTGTTCACCCTGAGTGATCTGGCCTCGTCCCGGGACTACGAGCTCTGTGTCCTGGCGGTCTACGACGACGGCATCACGTCTCTCACCGGCACGCGATTGGTCGGTTGCGTGTCCTTCGCCACTGAGCGCGAGTTTCGCCACTGCCGCTCCATCCATGACCAGTTCCTCGGCGGCACCATGATCATCGTCATCGGCGGGATCATCGTGGCCTCGGTCCTCGTCTTCATCTTCATCCTGCTGATGAAGTATAAACTGCACAGTCAGCACTACAAGCAGAAGGCGGCCCGCGTCAGTAACGTTTGTTCTCAGACCAACGGAGGCCAGCAGGGGGCGTCATCGGGCCCTCCTCCCAGATCCTCGTCCTCCTCGGGATCCGCCAACAAGCCCTCCGTCCCGCTCGGGTCGGACCGACAAGACGGGCCACACGGCCTGGACGGGGGTTACGGGGCGCTGAAAGGAACCACGGTTGTGGACTTGAACCCGGACTACGGGAAATCCGTAAAAGATGACGACTCCATATCGCAATAACACAGGGTTCAATCCCGCCTCCCTTCCCATTCTCTTCACACCTCAACCCATTCAGTTTTGTTTTCCATTGCCACGTCTTACTGAGGATTTCTCCTGTCCAAGGTGAGGACGATGTATTTATTATTTTTTTCTCCTCTCCTCTATCTGTAAGGATTGTTGTTGCTAGGTAACCGGTTGCCACCGTGATAGAATATCCTCTCGGTGCTGATGCAGAGATTTACCAGTTCTGTTAATTAGACCTCCTTTAATGGATAAATTACAGACGTGCCGGCTCTGCTGTCTGTCTGTGTCAGGGCGACCGGCCTAAAAAGATTTCCCGAACGGTACGGTGCGCTTGAGATCACTATTTAAATTGATAGCCTGACAGTTGTTAAGTTCAATAGCATGCATTTAAATTACAAAGGCGTAAAATTGAAACGCTATTCCTAGTTGGGATGTTTGCAGGGAAAGTCATATGGTTTGCACATTAGGCTCATGTGTATGTTCTGCATATTTGAGATTTATTTTATTGAGGAGGAATAACCCCTTGAGATAAACCATCTCGTTTTCGAGGGGGTCCTCGAATCTAGAGACAAAAACTGACCTTACAATACGTGTCAAATATGACAGAAAAAAAAACAGAAAAAAAAAAAAAATACACACAATAAGAAAAAAAATGCTAAATACAGAAATATAAACAAAACCAATACAAACAAGACATTCACTCATCCAAGACTCTCTGAAGGTGACGCACTCATCCCTAAACAAAGTAAACACATATAATATGTACCAAAACACACATCTAGACACAAATAAACTCATATACAGACAAAAATGTATGTACCATGCCAAAAAATAGGTTACAATGAAAAAAATAATAATAATCAAAAGCAATTACATATATTCAGAAGATGTTGAGCTAGGTGATTCTTAAATATTGAAAAAGAAGATAAAGAGCAAATTGAAATTGGAAGATTATCCCTGCTGAGTTCCCAATCGTGCTATTTTCCTGAGAGATGCAGGTCATGCGTCTAAATATTGGTATTTTGCAGAGACTTCATATGAATTATCACTTCATTACAGTATTATGAGTCCAAGGCTATGACTTCACACAATACTAGGGGTGTAGCGATGCCCTTATGCCACGATTCGATACATATCACGATACTGAACTCACAATACGATATCAAGACATATGATAAAAGGTCAACAAATAAAATTAACTTTTGATTAAAATGCTAAATTTGATATTACATTGCTGGTGTAAATGAATAGACTTGGTGCTGATAACACAATGCACAGGACAATAGTGACAGCAGAATAACAATATTCATGATACTGAAGATGAAAATACAGAATTATTTTAGATGAATATACTTGGACTGTAACGGTGGCTGTTTCAGTAAAGACAGGGCATTGGATCCAGGTGCAGTTTGACATTTATTATTAACAAAACAGTCAGAAAGTAAATCCAGGCAAAGACCAAAATAATCCAAACACAGGAAAATCCTGAAACTGAAACGACTCATCCAGCAAAGGACATGAGAAACACTTGGGAATATACACACTCAAGGGGAGATTGGCGAACAAGACACACCTGGGAACAACCATGAGCTAATCAACAAGAAAAACTACAAAGGACTACAAAACACGGAGCAAAACAGGAAATATCATTAAAGTCCACACAAGACGAGGCGAACACAAGACGGCACTCATGGCATGCACTCTGTCACTGACTAGATAGATTTAAAATAATGTTGGACACTTTTTACCAGTAACATCAGACATCTGGCATTACCAGGACCCACACATATCCCCCCATTGCATTATTATACATTATATTCAACATTAGGGGAGCGCGGGGCACAATGTAACGCGGGGCTAGTTGTAACACACTTGTTTTAAATACTTCCACACATGCCACCGCATGACGAAACTTGGTGTATTTACTAGTTGCCATTTCAACACTATGTAGAGAAAAAAAATGCGCCAAAATTTAGAAATCTTTGTAAGATATCACTGAACATTTATTTGACCATAGCAAAAGTACATTTCTTACTTAAGTTAATTTTTCATCTCTATTTTTTGTTTATTTAAAATTAGACAAATCTGATATTGTTTTAGTCTCCAATCTGTTGTTTAACAGTTGTTCTTTAATGCTTCGCTAACTAGCAGAAGACACTAGCCGGGTTTAAACCCTAGTTGTGCAGTTAGGATGTTGTAACACTACGGTTACAATGTGCCCCTATTAGAAATATGCTATTATATTCTATACTTTTATGAATTCTATTGAGAAAACATGAGAAACATGTAAATAAAGACTGAGAGTCAATGTTCAGAAATTATTAATTATTATTTTTGTTTTGAACTATGCTGTATATCTGTGTTTTTCGGTGTGTTTGTTGTCAAACTCAAAAATTAGTTTATTTTTAATTATTAAAAAATGCCATTATTTTATATGAAAAAGTTAATAATTGTATTTTATTAAGAAAATATTTTGGGTTGACTTGTATATTTTTTTGATTAGATCAGATTTTAAGCTGTCATATGGTGATGTTACAATGTGCCCTTCACATGTTACAATGTACCCCACCTATGGGGCATGTTGTCACACTTCACTTCCATTCTTTCGGGGTAAATCAAGAAAAAGGTATACACTGCATTAATAAAACAAAACCACATAATTGTACTAGACATGTGGGAAATTAATGTGGGAAAATAAACCCTAAGTAGATTTACACAAACTGAGAAAGTCAAAAAGCGTTACGTTGTGCCCCGCGCTCCCCTAGATATAGTAGTATAGTAGTAATATAACCTTTTTCTCACACAAAAACTTGTATTTTGAGTGTACATATACACGATAAATATTGTTGCTTTTTTGTATTGCCATATATTGTGACACCTCATACACAATACACTAGGCATCATTCATTTGCAGACTTTGTAAATGGTTATAGAGGAAAGTGCAAACCAGTTTCAACAGATACCGATAAATGAAACACATCTCTAAAATTGGCCAATGTAACCAATATTACTGATACTCTTATGACTGCTAGTTGACATGTAGTTGCAAAGTTATATATAGTCTGAAGTGGACTATTGAACTAAAGTGCACCAAAACACAACACATCCAAGCTCATTTCATCAGGGGTAGAAAATAAAGTAGAAAACTACATTTCCATCACTTTTCCCTGCTATTGTGCTTCTTGTTAAACCCAGCACCAGCACACCGGCAGCGCTAGAGGCATTGGTTTGTGTTCGAGTTGTATTTGTATTCAGTCAAAGCCCTGACGCCCTTGGAGGCTCGATCTCTGTTGGCCTGGCTCCTCAATCTTACAACACAGCGATGGACCACCTCAGCTCTCAGGTTCAAGAGATGAGTCCATTTAATATAAGCAGGAGAGAGCCATCTCAGTGAGCTGGTCACGGATGCCTTGGACTGAGGATGAAGCGTATCTAGTGTTCGGTGGGAAACAGCTCCTCAACGGACAGACATCTGACGCCGCTCGACCGAAGAGTCTCTCATGAGAAACTTCACAAGCTTCTGTGGCGAGCGCTTCATCACAAAGAGTGATTATATCTGATCAGGGTGACAGACTTCTCAAGCTTATGAGATAAATCACCTTTATTGACCTGCAAAAACGTCCATCTTTTAATCCAGAGCTCGAAGCCAAAAATCAGCACCTCTGGATCATTTTTCGCCAGTAGCCAGGGTTTGAAATTAACTTATTTACTTGTTCACCATTCAGAACTTCTATTAGCCAAAACAAAAAATAAATGTCAGAAACAACACTGAGTATAATCCATGAATTTACTGTTTAGACTTTAATACATTTAGTATTAATACTGGTTTTCTGATTCATTGTTACCATAAAAATATCAGTGATTTTAAAAATAAAACTATTGTGTATTAATAATAATTTGTAATAATATGTTTTACAATAAAAATACAAACAAATATAATATAATAACTATTTTTGTACTTATAATGTTTTACATTAATTACGAATTAATTTTAAAGATGCGTATTATGCATTGTTGTGCTAATGTTGGAAGCTCTTTCATAGTTTAGGAATCATCACTCGCTGGTTATGAGTTTTTGGAGTCGTTTATGAGTTACGAGCATAGATATCCATAATAAAGGCTAGATGTCTCGTCCGCGCTGCTGGCCAATGGAGGTCGACGTCCGCACCTGGCGGCCATCTTGTCACAGGCAGCTCGCTCACTCGTAACATTGTGTTTTAATGGTGCATGTACTTTTTAAATAACCATAACTTTCTAAATTTTCTACCGATTTTCAAACGGTTTGGTTTGTTATAAACGTCAGAGATGTAGTTATGACACTGCACACTTTTGAATAATAAGTGTATCAATAAATTATCATCCAGAATTATAGCCACGTTAATAACGTTTGTAAGAAACCAAACCGTTTGTAAATCCATCAAGATTTCACCGAGATGAGAGTATTTGTGTTCGTGCTGATCACTCATCTTACATCAGGCACCACAGAGCCCGCCAGAAAGCTTGCCTGTGACAAGATGGCCGCCGGTGATGACGATAGAGACTCCGCCGTAAGACATCTAGCCTTTATTATGGATATCTATGGTTACGAGCCAGTTAGTTTATATGTGTTATTATTTTCAAACCTGCCTGTATCTCAATTGAGTGCCGATTTGACATGATCTAACGTTTTTGATGGACCACAATTGATTAAAATTCAGGTCCTGTTTCTAAAATCAAAGCACAAGTAGAGCTCCTTCTCCTATTAGCTTCTGATGGATTTACATTTCCTTTTGCTCGGCGTGAAATGGGGCAGATTAGGCCGTGGAGGGGATAGAGATACGAGGCCTGGAAAAGAGCTACGGAGATAGCAAACGCACTATGATGGAAGAAAAAGGGTTGATATGAGTATTGTGATGGGGGTTTAGAGATTGAGATAAAAGGGTAAAGGCCTCGTCTCTCAGATATTGAGACAAATGGGTTGATCTGTGGGGTGAGATGTTGTAGAATACCATAAGACTCACAGTAGAAGGCAATTACTATTTGTTCTCCGCAAAATGAGGCACAAGCTCTCTTCTCCTTCCCTGCCGACAGCCGTTGCGAGCCCGAATCCCTCCAGGCTGAAGCAGGGCACGCTAAAAATAGCCGTCTGAATGAGGCCTAGCATTAGCGAGCTCACTGCAGATAACTAGCTAACCGCTACATATCAGGCCTTGGAGTCTCTGTTAGTTCTGCATTTAATCTGGGAGGAAAGTCTGAGTAAATTGATGATGGTTGGAGTTAATGAAGTCGTTAAATGTCCAATTAGCATGCGCTATGAATAGTCACTCGCTCTGTCTGTTTATGCAAGCTTAGCCGGTGTTGTGAGATTTGTTTGCGTATCCGTGGGTGCCGTTTCCTCTGATACGGATTAAGTTTAGTGCGATAATATTTGCTGAAATGGCACTGTTAACGTGTATGTTTGCTGGACAAAGCCAAGCTACAATTGCAATTATAAAGTTAGTCATTTATTTTACATAATTTTAATTTACATTTATGCATCTGCCAGCTTTTATCCAAAGCGACTTGCAAGATGTACATTTGATCAATCATCTGACATGAATCTACTGTTTGAGTTACAGGAATTAGTTAGTTAGTTAGTTAGTTAGTTAGTTAGCTAGTTATAGCTAGTTAGTTAGTTCATACTTTGCATACTACAAAGCCATTAACATATTTACTGACATAACGCTTGAGAATTACTGATGTAAAAATTATAATTAAACTTTATTTGGAGTACTGCTTTATTGCACATAACACATTTCTTAATATTAGTCAGTTAGTTAGTTAGTTAGTTAGTTAGTTAGTTTGTTAGTTAATTTGTTCAGAGATTCACAAACTGTTTTGTCAGCTGAATCCCATTGACCTAAAGTATTTACCCCCTGATATTTCACTGATTTAACAACACGTTTGCACATTCACTCTAATGACAATCAACGGTCATGTGACATGCAGGTAAACATGATTTCAATTTTATATTGTATGAATTCATTAATTATTAGCTTACCATCAATTCCTGAACCCCAGTTAAGGAAACCAGTCAGTCAGTCAGATTTCACAAGTGTTACATTACATTTTAAATAGTTTTAAATCAAACTTGTACACTTTCAGAGTGTGTATAAACATCTCCCAGGCCCGGTTTATACCTGATATCACATCACAAGTGGTCAGGAGAGACAGGTCCCTGTTGAAACGCTCTTGTGATCAGATTTCAGTGGGAGACACTTATAATGTCAATGTTTCCTGGGAATCGATCCCACGACTTTAGTGTTGCTAGAGCCATGTTATGCTTGTTCGCTACATGAACAAGCATATAAAGGCTTAAACACACAGAAAAAAAGGTATTTAAAAAAAAACAGGCACTTTGTTGCATCTTAAATATATGTGAATGTTAATGATTGGTTTTAATTTTGCAATACTTTTTTATCTTTATTATTTATGTATGTATTTATTTATTTAATAAAATACATTTTCATTTTATTAATAATATTTAATGAAAAAAAAAACTTTTAAATAATTTTTTATTGTTTTGATGAATTTTTGTAATCAAATGCAGCTATTATAAGCTAAAGTCCTTGAATATATAGCACAGTGGATGATTGACAGGTGAGTAGACGATCATTCATGGGCAGATTAGCATTTACTACAAAAACCATGCGGTCACATGCATTTCTATGGAAGCTTGTTCCCGCCCCAGAATGAAAAATAAAAAAGGTAATTACGACTTTTTATCTCACAATTCGGACTATTTTTCTCACAATTGCGAGTTTACATCTCGCAATTCTGACTTTATTTCTCACAATTGCGTGTTATAAAGTCAGAATTGCGAGATATAAAGTCAGAATTGATTGATATAAAGTCGCAATTGCAGATTATAAATTCAGAATTGATTGATATAAAGTCGCAATTGCGTGAAATAAAGTTGCAATTGCGTGAAATAAAGTTGCAATTGCGTGAAATAAAGTCGCAATTGCGAGATATAAAGTCAGAATTGCGTGAAAATAAAGTCGCAATTGCGTGAAATAATGTCGCAATTGCGAGATATAAAGTCAGAATTGATTGATATAAAGTCGCAATTGCGTGTTATAAAAGTCAGAAATGCGTGAAATAAAGTCGCAATTGTGAGATATAAAGTCAGAAATGCGAGATATAAAGTCTGAATTGCGTGTTATAAAGTCAGAATTACGAGATATAAAGTCAGAAATGCATGATATAAAGTCAAAATTGCGTGTTGTAAAGTCAGAATTGCGAGATATAAAGTCAGAATTGATTGATATAAAGTCGCAATTGCAGGTTATAAAGTCAGAATTGCGTGAAAAAGTCGCAATTGCGTGAAATAAAATCGCAATTGCGAGAAATAAAGTCAGAATTGATTGATATAAAGTCGCAATTGCGTGTTGTAAAGTCAGAAATGTGAGATATAAACTATTCTGAGGGGGAAAAAGTTAGTCTTTTTTTCCCCTTAGAATTGGCCTGATAACTCGCAATTGCGAGTTTATATCTCACAATTTTGAGAAAAGATGTCAGAATCTCGAGATATAAACTCGCAATTGTGTGTTATAAAGTCAGAAATGCGAGATGTTAAGTGTCAATTCTGTCTTTTTTTCTCGCAATTGCGACTTTTATTTCTCACAATTCTGACTGCATATCTCGGAATTGTGAGATAAAAAGTCGCAATTATTTTTTTTATTTTATTTTTTTCAGTGGCGGAAACAAGCTTCCATACATTTCTGACTCTGAATGTGGTAAAAACATTATAGACCCCGTTTAGACCTGCAATGATCACCCGAGGTGGATGTTAAGGCGTAAAAATGTATAATAATCAGTTTATTGGAATGTCTTTACTGTCTTTTCTCTTTAAATGCATTCAGACCTGTCCGCTCAGACCTCGCTTATTCCTTTGCGTTTCATGTGCAGATTTTAATACCTGTTTAACTGTGTGTGTTATGCTGAAGCTGATCTCGTGCCTCTGTTGTTTTTCAAGGCAAACTCGCAGTCTGGAAGCTAAACGCAGAATGCCAGATTAAATGGGATTGGATCCAATCTATTAGCTGTGGTCGGAAGGCAAACACAACAGGCTCTCCCTGTTCAATACTTTATGCAAGACTCTCCAGACCGTGTGCCTCTTTGGTGCATATGTTTCATTTTAAACCAGAGGTTAATGCCACGAGAGAGAAGAATCATCAAATCATTTCATGGGAAGAGACAATGAAACTCTTTGGGGATACGTTGCGGTTGTTTTTTGTGAAGATGTGGGAAATGTTATGACAGAATATCAGTGTTAAATAGCAGCCGAGCTCCGATCTCTACGATGGTCCAGTGCCAAAGGATTGCATCGTGTGGATTTAATGTTCTCCCGCAGGCCCGTGTGGATCCAGACTTATCAAAGTTCGATGAAATATTGATGAGTCGGTATCAAGTTAACATTTGTGGACCGTCTGGAGCACTTTATTATGGATTCCCTCTGTATTGTCTCAGCTAATGACTCTCTCTCTCCCACTCTCTTTATTGGGAAACTGAACACTTGGATCGATATCCAGCTGATTAACAAACATGGCGAGCGTGTTCTTGGGATCTGGAGATTAGGTCAAACCGGCAGAACATTGATTATCACAATGCACTAAAACTTTCTGAATCTGCCGTATCAACGAGGATTGAAGGTAAGGCACTTTTGAGAACTCAATATCTGACGACAGACGATGTGAAAGCAGCGCTAAACACACTGAAGTAAACACTGTTCTTTTTTCCCTCCAATTGACCGTGGACGTATTTGTATGTGAAGTACACCTTCAGCCATCTCTGATTTTAATCATTTGATTTCAAGGAGAAAATAATAATAATAATAAAAAAAAAACATGGGATGGAATTTTATGCTTTCATAGGTACTCTATGTGGATTTATAAAGAAATAAAGTATTTTTCTTCAAGGCTTGTGGAAAATACTTTTTATTTAACACGTGATTTGTTTCTGATACTCCTTCCACTGCGCAGTGGTTTGATTATTTTCATAATGAAACATATTGAAAGGGTTTTTTCTTCTTCCAGCAGGTCTTCAGGGCTGAGTGTAATGGAAGTTAAGTCAAGCATACCGCAAATCATATGCGAGTGATTTCCAGTCTTATGCATTACTCATAATCTCAATATTCTAGAGAGACTGTTTATCTTGTTGCACTATGGAGTGTCAAATGTTTACAAATGCATGGATTATTTGTAGCCTAAGGCGTTTATGCTAATCGAATGAAGTCGTAATGACTCGAATCGCCACATGATGTCACTGCACACACACTTGCTCGTGTCCTGAAACACTGAACTGATGACTTGCAGTTTCAAGATGCATTTGGTGCTCAAACGTCCTGATCGTGCGTCACAGCTTTATTATCAGCACTTTAAACTTTCTGAAGGGCTTTTAAACTGAAAAACTAATTGCAGGATGCTCTTCCTTGTTTTGGTGGTTATATGATTGAATAGGTAGTAAAATATGTATTATTTGAATTAACTAATTAATATTATATGCAACTTTCTAGGTTTATTTTGTTTTGGCCATTTTCCTGACACACCGCATCTTTATTTTAAAGTCTGCTTATGATCACGCCAACAATCTTGCGAAACCCCTGCCGATGCTAAAAGAGTTTCAATGAAAATCACAATGTTTGTGGATTCCTTTAGACGAATACACCAGAGAGGTTAGAAGTCATCATGCGGTGGCTGCTTTTACCCAGAATGCCTCAGTTTGTCGTTATAGGGCAGTTTATCAGAGTGAATGTGCTACACAGATGCCAGAGGCCGTGGATGGAGAGTGATGCCTTCTGATAAACATGCAAATGAATCCTAATGCTAAAATTACACAAATGTTGACCACTGCAGGGCAGCGTCGCTTCTCAGATCTCTCCAAAACACACACACACACACACACACACACACACAGATGCTCTCACAGACACCATGCTCTCTTCTGTGATACTTCCAACTTTTGCATCTTTTGTTGGTGAGTTCAAAGCTTACGGTAAAATCATTGTTGCCAGATCTCAAGACAAATGCTTTAATTCAATTATATATATTGTTTTATTTTTATTTATTTATAAATTGCAAGTATAAGATGCATATTAGCAGTTTTGCTAACACACACAAAAAAAAACAATGTATCTAGTTTGTCCAATGCTGTTAATGTCCATATCAAATAAAAAAATAAAAAAATAAATATATATATATATATATATATATATTTTTATCCAGACAGATGCCTTTTCAATTATTATATTTTTTACAAATATAATTTAAAGGCCTAAATACATGTTTAAAAAAAACAGATTTTTTTATATTTTATTTTATCACTGGCAAATGTATTTTCAATAATTATATTATTTTACTAATTTAATTTAAATGCCTGAACACATGCTGGATATAATGAATTAATCTCTATCTCTATCTCTCTATCTATCTATCTATCTATCTATCTATCTATCTATCTATCTATCTATCTATCTATCTATCTATCTATCTATCTATCTATCTGTCTGTCTATCTCTCCCTCATGATGTCATTTAAATAATATGCCTTTATGTATATACCTAATTGCAAAAGGGGAGGGACTGAGAGAAGCAAAAATGCTGGGTGAACTCTGAATAAAGATTGCTCATAATATTTCATATATTTGCCCAATGGGGACCAAGCACTATTATAGGCCCAAATATGCGGCTGTTTTCTGGATATAATCCCCCAAAAAAGCAACCTGTGATGGCCGTATTTATAAACGCCTCCTAAGCAAGAACAAAGTGTCCAGAGTAAGAGTGTCTCCAGTTCACACGCAGAGCTCTTCCCTCTCTCCTCTCTCTCCGCTGTCTCTGCATAATGGCCGACGACTCCCACACACACACACACACACACACACACACACACACAGCCGCGCTTCAGTGTAATCTGATCAGAGTCTAAACAAGCTGGAATAAAGGAAAGAGCTCCACAACACAGCCGAGGGTGTGCCTGTCTGAACGGCGTTAGCAAATCAATGCGTCTGATATGTTGAACTGCATGCCTTCAGGTCATCTCTCATGAAGACGGTGGGATGTTGCACATGGATTGTTGTCATGAAGATGCCAGAGACTTCACTAAAGCTCTATTAAACCCCATGATTAGTGGAGCTTTGTCAAACAGCTGGCCGAGTGTTTGCTTCTGCTCCTAATTAAACACCAGATTGTAATTTTGAGGTGCTGTCGAAGCGAGCCTGAAGATATTCAGCAAAACACGTTTCATATTGTGTCTTCTCAATTTAACATGGGGATATTGATGGGAAGCTGTGGATCGTTTCTGAAGCAATGGCTCGCTTCCCAATTCAAATCTGCTTCGCTGTTTATTGCGAACATAAGGGCCTGGTTTTTAATTATTTCATTTATTTATTTGCTGTGTGTGAAGTAAAAACAGTGTAACGTTTTAAAATGCATCTCTGATTAGCTGTTTTGAACACAAGAATGCGTCTTAAAAGTGACTCGCTTACAATTTGCATAATGCATTTTAAAAAACCACCTTGGGAGACGTGAATGATTCAGTCACAGATTTCAACAGTTAGCATACCGCTAAGCTAGCATTACGCTCACATATTTAGTAACACTTTGTATATTAAATGCAATTAAATGAAAAAATTATAGTTTAAATGTATATTAATTGCAATTATTGGACTTAAAGAGTGCTTTTTGCCTACATCAGGTCATATGTAATTTCATAATTAATTCGATTGCCTTTAAAAAATAGTTAAAGTTACTGCTGAATGTACTGACAAGCATTTAACTAAAATAAACTTCACTGTCATTTATATTGAACCTTGTATGTCATGTATTTTAAAGTCTATTTTACACATTTGTCATGATGAAGTTGCAAGTTAGTACATTTAAAATATACTAAATGTAATATTGAATAACACACTGGTTAAAATTATAATCAAGTACTTTACATGTTTTAGTATGTTAGTCAACACATCAAAATAAGTGCACTTCTTTAAAGCACGACAAAAGATTATTAACCATATTGATGTAACTTTCTTTAAAACTTTTATTTTGAATTTATTACGAAGTGCAGATTTTAAAGGTGTATTTAGCCTAAGTGTGTTGAAAAACAGTCAAGTAAGTAAGTGGTCTTTTATCTCATTAATATATTATCTGCTATAGTTATTAAAAATATATAGGCCTATATGGTATACAAAATACCAATTGCACAGGAGCACACATAGGGCATCTTATAATACTGCCTATGTAGGGAGCTCACTAGGTTTTGAAATGCATTAAAGAAATTTGTATTTGTGTTGAAATTTTGTCTATCCGCGGGGTTTTTGCAGACATATGCTGCTATCTTCGAAGGTTTCCCAGCTGAGGTTCTCACACAGTAATGATCATTGTGAGGCTCGAAAAGACGCAGATTAAGTCAGAGGGAACGCATTATCATGATTGTCTTGTGCATGTTGGCTATTTAGGGGAGTTTCCCCCTTTCTATTTGGGACTTTCCCTTCTCTGTCAGCTCAGAAATCGAGACAGATACCCATCATGCACTGCACAAAGAGCCACGTGCTCTGCTAATGCACACTGGGTCTTCCCTCTCCATTAAAAAAAGTTAAAACCTTCTCAAGAAAGCAAATACAAAGTGCACTTTTTAATCTTAAAGACCATGCTCTATACAAGAAAACAAATTAAAGAGGATAAATGCCAACGCAAGAAATGCATTAGGTAGTCATTTAATTGTTGATTATAGTCTAAGTTTGCCTTTAGCTTTAATTGATTTCGCCGTCTGCAAACGCATGAGCATTTAGCAACCACAACAGAAGCACTATCATTAAATATCCTGCAATGACCTTTACGTGGAAAACACAGAAGATTCGTTTGTCTCGAGTGCTTGCATCTGCTCCTCGTCATCCGCTGATTCCTCTCTTTCAGAGCTGGTGTTATTGTGAAAGTCAGCAGTCTTTTAGAGGTGTCAATCTGGAGGTCTTTTAGAAACGGCAAATGCCAAAGCCATTACGGACCGAGTGCCAGGCCCATGGTGAGCCGTCTGATGGAGAAAAGCCCGGAGCAATCCACATCTCTCCACTTTAATTATTCATTTCTGTTGGGGTATTTTAGGCCTTTCAATTG